AAGATGGTTGGACCACTGTATGACTGTGTCCATGGCGCCCTGCTGGACATCTTCATGTATGAAAATCAATACACACTCGGCCAGGTCCCATGTCCTCCTACAATAGCGGTTTAATAGCGGTGTTGGTTATGTGGGCGTATAACACGCCGCTTCGCTATGCTGTAGGCTAATCCATTATAAACTGGTTTCATTTGTGTTAGGATTTGATGTTGAACATGTTATTAATTATACTGTCACTGTCTTTGTGGCTGTTTGTTTGGAATGGCTGTTATTAAATGAGGATCATTCATTCTTTGATAAATGTATGATGAGCTGGAAATGTTTCCAGCTGTCTTGATTGATTTCCTATCTTTCCTGGTGAATTAACTGACGTGACGTGACAAGAGACAAAGTGGGGAATTAGACAAGCTGTCCTCCATTTTCTATTTGTAACCATAGCAACAACAGGTGCAAGATGTTCCTACAGCACACTACAATATAGATGTTAAAGAATACACCTGACAGTAGCATATATAAAAGTGGTATATATAGGAAAATTTTTCTCACTGTTTCTCATTTCTCATAGGGTGTTGCAAATGTGTCACAACTCCATTCTGTAGAATGGGCTACCAATTAAATGTTCAGTAGAAAAGCTGTCACTGTTTCATTTAACTGGCTTCAGTCCAGTGTAGCAGAAAGCCTGTGACATAGAAAATAGATTTCACAGCTTATCAGAGCATCTAGTATGTTTAATGGAAAATGAAAATACTTTTAACTCACATATTCACATGTGCATAAACTATTCAGGTTTATATAGTATAGTGCAGTGCCTGAGATTCCATAATGTCAAAAAATGTAAAACAAAAAGTAGAGTAAAAACTGCTCATTTTCAAAGAGTTTATGTTTCACCATCCATGCTCCATAGAATGTCTACTGACTAACAGTCTTGAAAATAGTATTTCTTTTATCCTAAAAAGCTTATTTTCCATATGTAAATAAGGTTTTACATTGTAGAATTTGCATCGAGATATGTTGCAGTTTTCAGTAAGGCCAGACCAATTATATTTCTTGTTTTACAGATCCGCCGGTCGTATTTCAAAAATAAGAAGAAAAGAAAAAAAAAATTCCCTGCTCAAAAAATAAAATACTCATGTCTTTGTTGGCCAAAAGTGTAACTTACAAAAAAAAATGTTTTGATTGTTTTTGACCCATATACACTTCATAAATTGCCCAAAATAAAATACTTTTAGTATTTAAAAGGAATATTACTTTGACTGGTGATTTTTTTTTTTAATATTTTTTTCCTCCTGCCTTAAGGTTTTCTGAGGACAAAAATCCGTAAAACAAGAAATAAAATTGGTCTGGCCTAAGTACAATTAAATCAAATGCTTCATAATGTTTTATGTTTGTGGGGGGGTTTTCAACTCCCAAAAGTATAAATTCTGCATAAAATATATTATTTTAGGTGAACAGGTTATGGTTAGATTGATGAAATATAGTAATTAATAGTACTGACCCTAAGATGACTTGTTATTTAAAGGACATGCTTTTAATTTTCTTTGGAGTGATAATGGGAAAGTATAAATAGGATTGAAGTTTTTAAATTGTAATATGGCTTGAAATATTTTGTCAACCTGTGATGTAATTGTGTTATTATTCACTTGAAGTTCATTACATTGTGTTTTAATTATTATAAGTGGTAAGGGATGCTTTGTTATCTGTTGTAAGTAGTGGTATGGAAATTACTATATTGCTTTCACCTACTGGCCTCTCTGCCTGTGGCCTCTCAGATAGACTAATGTTTAGTCCCTGAATACATATAATTTTGATAGCAATTAAACCCATTTAAACTGAAAAGGAACCCCAGTAAGACCAGAGATTCCTGAACCTGAGGAAATCTAGACTTATTTCATTTAGGGCTTTAGCATTGCAGGGAGGGCTAAGCATTGGGGAAAATAATATGGTTCAGGGACTGTGAGACGGACTACCTCTCAGACTGTGGCCTCTCAAACTGGCCAGACTGACTGTTGCCTCTCTGACTAAGCTGACATTGTTAATAACACCATGACCATGGCTTCACATCCTGCTTACCAACTTTGCTGTTATGGTATTTGCAACAACCAACAACAGCCATGCACAGGAAGTGCTATTCAACAGATTTTTTGCATTGGTGGTTCCACGAACCAGGTAGAAACAATTTTCTCAAATGTCAGGAGAATCTTAATCACCCCAAGACAGCTAGTTACACTGATGCTCTTGATGATAAACACTAGATGTTCTGGTACAGACCATCATACAGCTAGTAGTATTATAGAGTGTGTTGTCACATAGCAGAATAGAACATCATACAGCAGTAGTATTATAGAGTGTGTTGTCACATAGCAGAATAGAACATCATACAGCTGTAGTATTATAGAGTGTGTTGTCACATAGCAGAATAGAACATCATACAGCAGTAGTATTATAGATGGTGTTGTCACATAGCAGAATAGAACATCATACAGCAGTAGTATTATAGAGTGTGTTGTCACATAGCAGAATAGAACATCATACAGCAGTAGTATTATAGAGTGTGTTGTCACATAGCAGAATAAAACATCATACAGCTGTAGTATTATAGAGTGTGTTGTCACATAGCAGAATAGAACATCATACAGCAGTAGTATTATAGAGTGTGTTGTCACATAGCAGAATAGAACATCATACAGCTGTAGTATTATAGAGTGTGTTGTCACATAGCAGAATAGAACATCATACAGCAGTAGTATTATAGAGAGTGTTGTCACATAGCAGAATAGAACATCATACAGCAGTAGTATTATAGAGTGTGTTGTCACATAGCAGAATAGAACATCATACAGCAGTAGTATTATAGAGTGTGTTGTCACATAGCAGAATAGAACATCATACAGCAGTAGTATTATAGAGTGTGTTGTCACATAGCAGAATAGAACATCATACAGCTGTAGTATTATAGAGTGTGTTGTCACATAGCAGAATAGAACATCATACAGCAGTAGTATTATAGAGAGTGTTGTCACATAGCAGAATAGAACATCATACAGCAGTAGTATTATAGAGTGTGTTGTCACATAGCAGAATAGAACATCATACAGCAGTAGTATTATAGAGTGTGTTGTCACATAACAGAATAGAACATCATACAGCTGTAGTATTATAGAGTGTGTTGTCACATAGCAGAATAGAACATCATACAGCTGTAGTATTATAGAGTGTGTTGTCACATAGCAGAATAGAACATCATAGCAGTAGTATTATAGAGTGTGTTGTCACATAGCAGAATAGAACATCATACAGCTGTAGTATTATAGAGTGTGTTGTCACATAGCAGAATAGAACATCATACAGCAGTAGTATTATAGAGTGTGTTGTCACATAGCAGAATAGAACATCATACAGCTGTAGTATTATAGAGTGTGTTGTCACATAGCAGAATAGAACATCATACAGCAGTAGTATTATAGAGTGTGTTGTCACATAACAGAATAGAACATCATACAGCTGTAGTATTATAGAGTGTGTTGTCACATAGCAGAATAGAACATCATACAGCTGTAGTATTATAGAGTGTGTTGTCACATAGCAGAATAGAACATCATACAGCAGTAGTATTATAGAGTGTGTTGTCACATAGCAGAATAGAACATCATACAGCAGTAGTATTATAGAGTGTGTTGTCACATAACAGAATAGAACATCATACAGCTGTAGTATTATAGAGTGTGTTGTCACATAGCAGAATAGAACATCATACAGCTGTAGTATTATAGAGTGTGTTGTCACATAGCAGAATAGAACATCATACAGCAGTAGTATTATAGAGTGTGTTGTCACATAGCAGAATAGAACATCATACAGCTGTAGTATTATAGAGTGTGTTGTCACATAGCAGAATAGAACATCATACAGCTGTAGTATTATAGAGTGTGTTGTCACATAGCAGAATAGAACATCATACAGCAGTAGTATTATAGAGTGTGTTGTCACATAGCAGAATAGAACATCATACAGCAGTAGTATTATAGAGTGTGTTGTCACATAGCAGAATAGAACATCATACAGCAGTAGTATTATAGAGTGTGTTGTCACATAGCAGAATAGAACATCATACAGCAGTAGTATTATAGAGTGTGTTGTCACATAGCAGAATAGAACATCATACAGCAGTAGTATTATAGAGTGTGTTGTCACATAGCAGAATAAAACATCATTCAGCTGTAGTATTATAGAGTGTGTTGTCACATAGCAGAATAGAACATCATACAGCAGTAGTATTATAGAGTGTGTTGTCACATAGCAGAATAGAACATCATACAGCAGTAGTATTATAGAGTGTGTTGTCACATAGCAGAATAAAACATCATTCAGCTGTAGTATTATAGAGTGTGTTGTCACATAGCAGAATAGAACATCATACAGCAGTAGTGTGTTAGATCCAATTACAGTATTATATTTTCACATTGTGTGTTAGGTCCAATTACAGTATTATATTTTCACATTGTGTGTTAGGTCCAATTACAGTATTATATTTTCACATTGTGTGTTAGGTCCAATTACAGTATTATATTTTCACCTTGTGTGTTAGGTCCAATTACAGTATTATATTTTCACCTTGTGTGTTAGGTCCAATTACAGTATTATATTTTCATCTTGTCTGTTAGATCCAATTACAGTATTATATTTTCACCTTGTCTGTTAGATCCAATTACAGTATTATATTTTCACCTTGTGTGTGAGGTCCAATTACATTATTATATTTTCACCTTGTGTGAGGTCCAATTACAGGGTTATATTTTCACCTTGTGTGTGAGGTCCAATTACAGTATTATATTTTTACCTTGTGTGTTAGGTCTTTCAATGAAGGTGACCTTCTGTACCTCTACACTAGTTAGGATTTGGATCAATGCATTGGTCTGCCTCGAAGGTCAAGAGACGGATTTTGTAAGCAAACTTTCAAATGAACTTTTTGCTAAAGCTAATGAATGCCATGTTTGTTTCAGGTAAACCTGAGTTCAAGTATGTCGGCAACATGCATGGTAATGAGGTGGTGGGGCGGGAGGTGCTTCTCAAGCTCATTGACTTCTTATGTGAAGGTTACAAACAGAACGATCAGCTAATCCACTTCCTGGTGAACAGCATACACATCCACATCATGCCATCCATGAACCCTGATGGCTGGGAGCAGGCCTACAGGAACTACAATTATGCCAAGGTACATGGTGCTTGGAGGATAGGGTGGGGTGGGGGAGCAAGCCTACAGGAACTACAATTATGCCAAGGTGCGTGGTGCTTGGAAGGGTGGGGTGGGGGGGGGAGCAGGCCTACAGGAACTACAATTATGCCAAGGTGCGTGGTGCTTGGAAGGGTGGGGTGGGGTGGGGAGCAGGCCTACAGGAACTACAATTATGCCAAAGGTGCGTGGTGCTTGGAAGTGGTGGGGTGGGGAGCAGGCCTACAGGAACTACAATTATGCCAAGGTGCGTGGTGCTTGGAAGGGTGGGGTGGGTTGGGGAGCAAGCCTACAGGAACTACAATTATGCCAAGGTACATGGTGCTTGGAAGGGTGGGGTGGGGTGGGAGCAGGCCTACAGGAACTACAATGATGTCAAGGTACATGGTGCTTGGAAGGGTAGGGTAGGGTGGGGGAGCAGGCCTACAGGAACTACAATGATGTCAAGGTACATGGTGCTTGGTAGGGTGTGGTGGGGGAGCAGGCCTACAGGAACTACAATTATGCCAAGGTACATGGTGCTTGGAAGGGTGGGGTGGGGAGCAGGCCTAAAGGAACTACAATGATGTCAAGGTACATGGTGCTTGGAAGGGTAGGGTAGGGTGGGGAGCAGGCCTACAGGAACTACAATGATGTCAAGGTACATGGTGCTTGGACAGGTGGGGTGGGGAGCAGGCCTACAGGAACTACAATGATGTCAAGGTACATGGTGCTTGGGCCAGGGTGGGGTGGGGAGCAGGCCTACAGGAACTACAATGATGTCAAGGTACATGGTGCTTGGAAGGGTAGGGTAGGGTGGGGAGCAGGCCTACAGGAACTACAATGATGTCAAGGTACATGGTGCTTGGACGGGTGGGGTGGGGGAGCAGGCCTACAGGAACTACAATTATGCCAAGGTACATGGTGCTTGGAAGGGTAGGGTAGGGTGGGGGAGCAGGCCTACAGGAACTACAATGATGTCAAGGTACATGGTGCTTGGAAGGGTAGGGTAGGGTGGGGAGCACAGGCCTACAGGAACTACAATGATGTCCAAGGTACATGGTGCTTGGGAGGGTGGGGTGGGGAGCAGGCCTACAGGAACTACAATTATGCCAAGGTACATTGTGCTTGGAAGGGTAGAGGTAGGGTGGGGAGCAGGCCTAAAGGAACTACAATGATGTCAAGGTACATGGTGCTTGGAAGGGTAGGGTAGGGTGGGGGAGCAGGCCTACAGGAACTACAATGATGTCAAGGTACATGGTGCTTGGTAGGGTGTGGTGGGGGAGCAGGCCTACAGGAACTAAAATGATGTCAAGGTACATGGTGCTTGGACGGGTGGGGTGGGGGAGCAGGCCTACAGGAACTACAATGATGTCAAGGTACATGGTGCTTGGAAGAGGTGTGGTGGGAGCAGGCCTACATGAATTCTGATGATGTCCAAGGTACATGGTGCTTGGAAGGGTGTGGTGGGAGCAGGCCTACAGGAACTACAATGATGTCAAGGTACATGGTGCTTGGAAGGGTGAGAACAGGGTGGGGAGCAGGCCTACAGGAACTACGATGATGTCAAGGTACATGGTGCTTGGAAGGGTGAGGTGGGGAGCAGGCCTACAGGAACTACAATGATGTCAAGGTACATGGTGCTTGGAAGGGTGGGGGGGGGGAGCAGGCCTACAGGAACTACAATGATGTCAAGGTACATGGTGCTTGGAAGGGTGGGGTGGGGTGGGGAGCAGGCCTACAGGAACTACAATGATGTCAAGGTACATGGTGCTTGGAAGGGTAGGGTGGGGTGGGAGCAGGCCTACAGGAACTACAATGATGTCAAGGTACATGGTGCTTGGAAGGGTAGGGTGGGGTGGGGAGCAGGCCTACAGGAACTACAATGATGTCCAAGGTACATGGTGCTTGGAAGGGTGGGGTGGGGAGCAGGCCTACAGGAACTACAATGATGTCAAGGTACATGGTGCTTGGAAGGGGTAGGGTGGGGGTGGGAGCAGGCCTACAGGAACTACAATGATGTCAAGGTACATGGTGCTTGGGAAGGGTGGGGTGGGGGGAGCAGGCCTACAGGAACTACAATGATGTCCAAGGTACATGGTGCTTGGAAGAGGTAGGGTGGGGTGGGAGCAGGCCTACATGAACTACAATGATGTCAAGGTACATGGTGCTTGGAAGGGTGGGGGTGGGAGCAGGCCTACAGGAACTACAATGATGTCAAGGTACATGGTGCTTGGAAGGGTAGGGTGGGGTGGGAGCAGGCCTACATGAACTACAATGATGTCCAAGGTACATGGTGCTTGGAAGGGTGGGGTGGGGAGCAGGCCTACAGGAACTACAATGATGTCCAAGGTACATGGTGCTTGGAAGGGGGTGGTGGTGGGGTGGGGAGCAGGCCTACAGGAACTACAATGATGTCAAGGTACATGGTGCTTGGAAGGGTAGAGGTGGGGTTGGGAGCAGGCCTACATGAACTACAATGATGTCAAGGTACATGGTGCTTGAAGGTTGGGTGGGGAGCAGGCCTACAGGAACTACATTGATGTCAAGGTACATGGTGCTTATGGATGGAATAGGGACATTAATCAACCATTACCTTATATTTTTACCTTCACTTTGGCTCAGGTTTTATACATTGCTCACTGAAGACTTTAGTGCCTGTGTTTCCTGTTGCCAGGAGAAGGGTGGTGATCCTGACTGGCTTATTGGTCGCGCCAACAACAACAGCGTGGATCTGAACCGCAACTTCCCCGACCTGAACTCAATTATGTATCAGCATGAGGCAGAACACAAGGGCCGTAACAACCACCTGGAGAAGGTGGAATTTGCAATTAAGAACGTCACCAATGTAAGTGTCCTGACATGTCAAATTATGTGAATATTAGGCTAAACCAAAGGTAGCTCATTGTTGATGAGAAAAGGAACACAAACTGTGTCTCATGTAAATTGTTTTATGCAAGGCATGTATGAGTAACATTTATACAAAAATATATGCTGTCGTATTAGTTCCTGTCAACAATTTAAACACAGATGTAACAAAAATATAACCTTTTTCTGACCTTGACCTTGCAGCTGCAGCCAGAGACACGTGCTGTGATGAAATGGCTAGCAAGGATCCCGTTTGTCCTGTCGGCTAACCTCCACGGCGGGGACCTTGTTGCCAACTACCCATACGACACTACCCGCAGTGGCAAACCGCAGGAGTACACCAAGGCGCCTGATGATGCAACCTTGAGGTGTGTATATCAAGATCAGGACGGTTTATTGTACATATGTCCTCAAGCCCATATACGTAGTGTTATAATGACAGGCAAAGTGTGGACAGTGCGAACAGTGGAAAGCATCATAACATTGTAAAATTAGTTGCCAGAAGAAATCAGACGTTTCTTCATGTCAACAAGTGTGTTATAAACAGGGCTAATTATACCCCCAAAGTATGAAGTTACAAAGTAGCTGGTGTATATAGCATTCATTCTGTCCTTCCATTGGACCTTCCGTCCATCGGTCCTTCCGTCTGTCCTTCCATCCTGAAACTTTGTCTGGAGCATGTCCCTTAAAGTTTACAGGCCAGGTTCACCAGACTTAACACGCAAGTTAATCATGACCCATAGATATGCCTTTTGCTATTTTAAAGTTTATCAGAATCTTATTTTTTGCTGTTTCCATGGACTTAGTGCAAAATGTCTTTGATGGTTATCTTGTCCAGAGCAGAACTCTGAAGCTATACATGCTAGGTTCAATTATTAATGTTATCAGTAAATGGCAAAACTATGATCTAACATGTCTATAAAGTTTGGTGGGGTCAAGGAGAAAGTCTTGTGAGCTGCTGATCTTTGTCACATATATATATATATATATTAGGTTCATAACCTTTAGTTCCCTCTTAGTGTAGACTATTGACCAGTATATATATATATATCAGTCATATCCATGTCCCGAAGTGGGAAGCAGGGGTATATGAGTTGTGCTTACTTCTACACTTGTTTTTCATGAACAGATTTGTCTTCTGATTATAAAAATCTGATAAGTTTTCCCTAGTAAGGTGACACAAATAATTTCTGTGGAATATACTCTTTTCTTAATTCGACATTTGCATCTAATAGAAATAACATATGGTTTGTCTTTGATATGTTTGTGCAGCGACTGTTTACAACCAGTATTAATCATTATATCTGCATATATCATTATAGGTGTGTATATGCGTTGGGGCGGTGGGGTAGCCTAGTGGTTAAAGCGTTGGCTCGTCACGCCGAAGACCCGGGTTTGATTCCCCACATGGGCACAATGTGTTAAGCCCATTTCTGGTGTCCCCCGCTGTGATATTGCTGGAATATTGCTAAAAGCGGTGTAAAGCTAAACTCAGTCAGTCAGTCAGTATATGCATTGCCATGACAATGAGTTGCTATGGTGACAAAGGTGTGACATTAGTGAAAAGCACTAAAATTCTGTGAAAGATCTGCTGATTGTGGGTTTGAATCCAGCTTCACTCTCATGGCGAACCTTTGTCATGCTTGTGGGTTACATGGATCATTAGGGGCTGCTTACCTTCTACATGAAGCTGACACGTTTGGATATAAGTAAAATATGTTGTGTGTACATTGCATGGTAATAGGGCCCTTTCTGTCTACATGAGACCTGAAAATACACATCTTCATAACAACTATATATCTAACAGATTTGTCTTTCATTCCCATTATCAATTTCCTTTGCAAATTGTTGTTAGCGTCATCATTAAAATATTACTATGTATTCAATTATACCAAGTTGGTGAGTGAATGAGTGATTGTTGCATATTGCCTGACCCAAGTTGGAAAACAGAATTAGGTATGGCCTGGACCTGCTCTTGCTGTGTTGTAGTCCTGTTGGAATTCTGTAACTGATGTTCTCCATTGTCTGTGTCAGGTATCTGGCCAGGTCCTACGCCAAGGAACACACCAAGATGGGTCAGCCCCATGAAGCATGCGACATGACCGGTGATGACAACTTTGGGGAGCAAGGTGGCATCACTAATGGGGGAGAGTGGTACTCAGTGCCTCGAGGTGAGTAGTGATGAGGTGATGCATCCACACGGGAATCTTGCCCATCTCATTATCCAAACAAAGCTTGAGGTTATGACCTGTCTCAAGATGATCACTATGTTCAATTACATTTTTCTTTGCACCAAGTACCCTGCAAATACCTATTTATGTGTGTACCCATCCATCAAGGTATTGCATTAAGTATGAATAAATACCTCCAAGATATCCTATCTGTCTATGCAGTATCATAAATACCTATGTATATACACTATCACGGTGTGCAGTATTATAAATACCTGTGTATATCCCCTATCTAGGTATGCAGTATTATATATACCTGTGTATATACACTATCTACATATGCAGTATTATAAATACCTGTGTATATCCCCTATCTAGGTATGCAGTATTATATATACCTGTGTATATACACTATCTACATATGCAGTATTATAAATACCTGTGTATATCCCCTATCTAGGTATGCAGTATTATATATACCTGTGTATATACACTATCTACATATGCAGTATTATAAATACCTGTGTATATACACTATCACGGTGTGCAGTATTATAAATACCTATGTATTATTCACTATCACAGTATGCAGTAGTATAAATACCTGTGTATATCCCCTATCTAGGTATGCAGTATTATAAATACCTATGTATATACACTATCACAGTATGCAGTATTATAAATACCTGTGTATATACACTTTCTACATATGCAGTATTATAAATACCTGTGTATATACACTATCACGGTGTGCAGTATTATAAATACCTATGTACTATTCACTATCACAGTATGCAGTATTATAAATACCTATGTTTATACACTGTCACGGTATGCAGTATTATAAATACCTGTGTATATCCCCTATCTTGGTATGCAGTATTATAAATACCTATGTTTATACACTGTCACGGTATGCAGTATTATAAATACCTGTGTATATACACTATCTGGGTATGTAATATTATAAATACCTGTGTATATACACTGTCTAGCTATGTAATGTTATAACTACCTATGTCTATACACTATCATGGTATGCAGTATTAAAAATACCTCTGTATATCCCCTATCTTGGTATGCAGTATTATAAATACCTATGTATATACACTGTCACGGTATGCAGTATTATAAATACCTGTGTATATACACTATCTAGCTATGTAATATTATAACTACCTGTGTCTATACACTATCACGGTATGCAGTATTAAAAATACCTGTGTATATACACTATCTGGGTATGTAATATTATAAATACCTGTGTATATCCCCTATCTAGGTATGCAGTATTATAAATACCTGTGTATATACACTGTCTAGGTATGTAATATTATAACTGCCTATGTATATACACTATCTGGATATGCAGTATTATACATACCTGTGTACCATATATACCTCTATGTAGATTAAAACTACCTTTATATATCCCTATGTTGATTATAACTACCTGTATATATCCCTATCACAGTGAGATTTCATTTTTATTCAGTACCTGCTTGTGGTGTTCCAATGATCGAAAATCGATCAAAAGTAGGATTAAAAATGATTATGCAGGACTACAACTACCTGTGTATATCCACTATCTAGGTTTGCAGGACTACAACTACCTGTATATATCCACTATCTAGGTATGCAGGACTACAACTACCTGTATATATCCACTATCTAGGTATGCAGGACTACAACTACCTGTATATATCCACTATCTAGGTATGCAGGACTACAACTACCTGTATATATCCACTATCTAGGTATGCAGGGACTACAACTACCTGTATATATACCCCACTATCTAGGTAGGTATGCAGGACTACAACTACCTGTATATATCCACTATCTAGGCACACAGGGACTACAACTACCTGTACATATATCCACTTTCTGGGTATGCGGGACTACAACTACCTGTATATATATCCAATATCTACGTACACAGGACTACAACTACCTGTACATATGTCCACTATCTAGGTATGCAGGACTACAACTACCTGTGTATATATCCACTATCTAGGTACACAGGACTACAACTACCTGTGTATATCCACTTTCTAGGTATGCAGGACTACAACTACCTCATGTATGTATCCAATATCTCGTGCACGGGACTACAACTACCTGTAACATATGTCCACTATCTGGGTTTTGGGGACTACAACTACCTGTAATATATACCCACTATCTAGGTATGCTGGGACTACAACTACCTGTGTATATATCCACTATCTAGGATTACTGGGACTACAACTACCTGTGTATATCCACTATCTGGGTATGCAGGACTACAACTGCCTGTATATATCTCCACTATCTGGGTGTGCGGGCAGGGACTACAACTACCTGTATATATATCCACTATCTAGGTATGCAGGGACTACAACTACCTGTGTATATCCACTTTCTAGGTATGCTTGGGACTACAACTACCTGTATATATATCCAATATCTCAGGTACACAGGACTACAGCTACCTGTGGTATATCCACTATCTAGGTATGCAGGGACTACAACTACCTGTATATATATCCACTATCTGGGTATGCAGGACTACAACTACCTGTATATATATATCCACTATCTAGGTATGCGGGACTACAACTACCTGTATATATATCCACTATCTAGTGCATGCAGGACTGCACCTACCTGTATATATATCCACTATCTAGGTATGCAGGAATACAACTACCTGTATATATATCCACTATCTAGGTATGCAGGACTACAACTACCTGTATATATATCCATCACTATCTAGGTATGCAGGACTACAACTACCTGTATATATCCACTATCTAGGTATGCAGGACTACAACTACCTGTGTATATCCACTATCTAGGTATGCAGGACTACAACTACCTTTATATACCCACTATCTAGGTATGCAGGACTACAACTACCTGTATATATCCACTATCTAGGTATGCAGGACTACAACTACCTGTGTATATCCACTATCTAGGTATGCAGGACTACAACTACCTGTATATATCCACTATCTAGGTATGCAGAACTACAACTACCTGTATATATATCCACTGTCTAGGTACGCAGGACTTCAACTACCTGTATATATCCACATATTTAGGTATGCAGGACTACCAACTACCTGTATATATATCGCACTATCTAGGTGCACCATCTAGGACTGCAACTACCTGTATATATATCCACTATCTAGGTATGCAGGACTACAACTACCTGTATATATATCCACTATCTAGGTATGCAGGACTACAACTACCTGTATATATATCCACTATCTAGATACATAGGACTACAACTACCTGTGTATATCCACTATCTAGATGCCTTGGGACTGCAACTACTACTGTATATATCCACTATCTAGGTACACAGGACTGCAACTACCTGTATATATATCCACTATCTGGGTATGCGGGACTGCAACTACCTGTATATATATCCACTATCTAGATAGTACATGGGACTGCAACTACCTGTATATATATCCACTATTTAGGTATGCGGGACTACAGCTACCTGTATATATATCCACTATCTGATGCGCAGGACTGCAACTACCTGTATATATATCCACTATCTGGGTATGCAGGACTACAACTACCTGTATATATATCCACTATCTAGGTATGCAGGACTACAGCTACCTGTATATATATCCACTATCTAGATACATGGGACTACAACTACCTGTGTATATCACTATCTGGAATGCAGGACTGCAACTACCTGCATATATATATCCACTATCTGGGTATGCCGGGACTACAGCTACCTGTATATATATCCACTATCTAGATGCATGGGACTGCAACTACCTGTATATATATCCACTATCAAGGTACACAGGACTACAACTACCTGTATATATCCACTATCTAGGTATGCAGGACTACAACTACCTGTATATATCCACTATCAAGGTACATAGGACTACAACTACCTGCATATATCCACTATCTAGGTATGCAGGACTACAACTACCTGTATATATCCACTATCAAGGTACATAGGACTACAACTACCTGCATATACCCACTTTCTAGGTATGCAGGACTACAACTACCTTGACACCAACTGCTTTGAGATCACCCTTGAGCTGGGCTGCACCAAGTTCCCCTGGGACTGGGATCTGGAAGACTACTGGAAAGAGAACAAAGATGCCCTTATCTTCTACATCCTGCAGGTAGAGGCCAGCTTAGTCCACACAGCACACTCCAAACAGGATTCAGTTGCCTCTTACTGTAGTGATTCCTGGATAGTCAGCATTAGTGGGTTTCCTGGATAGTCAGCATTAGTGGGTTTCCTGGATAGTCAGCATTAGTGGGTTTACTGGCTGGACAGTGCAACTGGGTTTTCTGGATAGTCAGCGTTAGTTGGTTTCCTGGGTAGTCAGCGTTTGTGGGTTTTGTGGATAATCAGCATTTGTGGGTTTCCTGGATAGTCAGCGTTGGTGGGTTTCCTGGATAGTCAACATTAGTGGTTTTTCTGGATAGTCAGCATTAGTGGGTTTCCTGGATAGTCAACATTAGTGGGTTTCCTGGATAGTCAGCGTTAGAGGCCAGCTTAGTCCACACAGCACATTCCAAACTGGATTCAGTTGCCTCTTACTCATAGTGATTCCTGGATAGTCAGCATTAGTGGGTTTCCTGGATAGTCAGCATTAATTGCAGGTTTCCTGGATGAGTCAGCATTAGTGGGTTTTACTGGATAGTCAGCATTAGTGGGTTCACCTGGATAGTCAGCATTAGTGGGTTTCCTGGATGGTCAGCATTAGTGGGTTTACTGGCTGGACAGTGCAACTTTCGGTTTTGTGGATAGTCAGTGTTAGTTGGTTTCCTGGGTAGTCAGCGTTTAATGTGGGTATTGTGGATAATCAGCATTTGTGGGTTTTCCTGGATAGTCAGCATTGATGGGTTTCCTGGATAGTCAACATTAGTGGAGTTTCTGGATAGTCAACATTGAGTGGGTTTCCTGGGTAATCAGCATTTTGTGGGTTTCCTGGATAGTCAGTGTTAGTGGGTTTCCTGGATAGTCAACATTAGTGGGTTTCCTGGATAGTAGGTGTTAGTGGGTTTCCTGGATAGTCAACATTAGTGGGTTTCCTGGATAGTCAGCGTTAGTGGGTTTCCTGGATAGTCGGCGTTAGTGGGTTTCCTGGATAGTCAGCATTAGTGGGTTTCCTGGATAGTCAGCGTTAGTGGGTTTCCTGGATAGTCAAATTAGTGGGTTTCCTGGATAGTCAGTTGTAGTCGGTTTAATGATTGGTCTGTAGTAGTTGGTTTACTTGTTCCCAGTCATTGCTTTTGTGTGTATATGTGAGTTCCTTATTGTGTCAAGATAAGAGCATCCCTGCAGCCCACAACATGATGTGTTTCAGAGTCACATTGGAGTGAAGGGTCTCGTGAAGACAACCGATGGAGTTCCTGTAAAGGATGCTGCCATCAAGGCGACCAACATGACATCGAGTATATTGCTCATGATATTCTCAGGTTTGTACACAATATAGACTCGACAACACACTCTCTACTTAATGCACAGGATTGAAAAGGGTTCAAAATTTGTCGCTCTCATACATTATCATAGATGTGAGATAGTCCCAGCTCTGGGTGTTGTCAGTCCCCACTTTACACAGCCATTGCTCTAGCTTGGTGAATGACACCTTGGATACATGTCTTGACACACTAGACTAATTCAGGCTGCTTGCTGTAACTCATCCTACATCTATGGGATCAACTTTACATCAGGGGTTGTTGTCTTTACAGCTGCTGATGGTGATTACTATCGCCTGTTGATTGACGGGTACTACCGTATCACAGTTGTTGCCCCTGGCTACCACAATGCCACCCGATGTGTTCGAGTGAACAACAACTTGGAGGCCCAGCGTGGAGCTCAGCGAGTCGATTTTGAGCTGGTTTCTAGTGACAAGCCACAGCCTTCCCAGGAGGAGTGTGAAGAGGTCAGGATAGAGACAGTTGAAAAGGAGTACCCGCAGGAGGTGGGTGCTTTTATTGCCATGCGGCTCCCGCAGGAGGTGGGTGTTTTGGTTGAGATGGGGCTCCTACAGGTCCAGGGTGCTGGGGAGTCATGGGGCTCCTGAAGGTGGTGGGAGCTTTGGTTGAGATGGGGCTCCTACGGGTCCAGGGTGTTGGGGTGGCATGGGGCTCCTGTAGGTGGTGGGAGCTTTAGTTGGGATTGGGCTCCTACAGGTCCAGGTTGCTGGGGTGGCATGGGGCTCCTGTAGGTGGTGGGAGCTTTGGTTGGGATGGGGCTCCTGCAGGTGGTGGGAGCTTTAGTTGGGATTGGCATGGGGCTCCTGTAGGTGGTGGGCACTGGGGTGGCATGGGGCTCCTGCAGGTGGAGGGAGCTTTAGTTGGGATTGGCATGGGGCTCCTGTAGGTGGTGGGCACTGGGGTGGCATGGGGCTCCTGCAGGTGGAGAGCTTTAGTTGGGATTGGCATGGGGCTCCTGTAGGTGGTGGGCACTGGGGTGGCATGGGGCTCCTGCAGGTGGAGGGAGCTTTAGTTGGGATTGGCATGGGGCTCCTGTAGGTGGTGGGCACTGGGGTGGCATGGGGCTCCTGCAGGTGGTGGGAGCTTTGGTTGAGATGAGGCTCCTACAGGTCCAGGGTGTTGGGGTGGCATGGGGCTCCTGTAGGTGGTGGGAGCTTTGGTTGAGATGAGGCTCCTACGGGTCCAGGGTGTTGGGGTGGCATGGGGCTCCTGCAGGTGGTGGGAGCTTTAGTTGGGATTGGGCTCCTACAGGTTCAGGGTGCTGGGGTGGAGTTGGGTTCCAGCAGATGGAGGGCACTGGGGTGGGACTCCATCGAAATAACAAGAGGATGAAATCATTAGAGGTTTACAGTCAAAATAGAGAATTGTTTTACATATCATTTTATAGATTATAGCACCTTAACAATGACTCAGAAAAAGTAAAAAGTAAGTTTTGGATTTTGAAAAGTTATTATTAGAGGAAGTCAAATACTTTTGTTGTGATGAAACATGTGAAGGGACACAAGACATGATTGTTCAGTCCGGCCTTTGATTCATTTCACAGCTTTAGAACAACTGTACAGCCTGCAGCTCATCAAGAGACAACTGACTCCTCAGGAATGGGAGGCATGCTTGTTAAGATTAAGCGATAGCCGACCTTCAGAAGTAGAGGTCAAGGTCACCTGTCCTTGTGACCCCACATGTTAAGTGTAGCTGATGTTACCTTAGAAAATTAACAAATTGTGAAAAGGATAACAGAAAATGGAAGTAATTACTTCACAAAAGGAAATTAGGTCATAAAACTTACTCTTTAAACTTGAAAATTCAGGAATTTGTAATTTTAATTCTTCCAACTGTTTGTATTTCTATTGCTATTTAGACTCAGCTGGAAACATCAGTGCAAGGACATATAATACATAGAGCATGCTGATGACAGCAACAGCAGGTACTTGGATAAGTTTGTCAGGTATTTCACAGTGAAAACGAGGCCAAAATGGGGATAATCTGACATTATTCTCATTTGGAGGAGTCCATTGAAATGAAAGATTTGGACTGCATAACATGGAATCTGACCCTGAAATATCCTGTGACATATCAAGCTAGTCTTCAGCCACATTATATGAAAAGTATATTTTGTCCTCATGTTGTGATATATGTGATGTACTGTGCAGCATTTACCCTGCTACCCTGCTCACCTGTGGATCGGGGCCACCTCAGACTATTTCACATTAGGGAACAATTCAGTGTCTCCATGACAAGTATTAGCATGGGCAAATTCAAAATTCAAATTCACTTAGGAACTGAAAATAAATTTATATCAAAGTTAATGGAGTTGCACAGAATAAAAGTGATAGTTTGAGATGGTCCCCTTAGGAATACTTGTGCAATATATATATAATCCCTTTATCTTTGTTGACTGTATTCTGATTAGCTCAGATTTTAACATTAACCTCCACACAACATTATTCATGCATTTTATCATGTTTGAAGAAATCCTCCATCGTGTTATTGCTCTACAATATTTTACAATGTTTTACAATGTTTTGTTGAAGATCAGGAAGGTCACATGGAGGTCCAGCTGTTGATGAGCTCGAATCTGTGACAATTAAGATGTCAATCTTTTATTTCTCAATAGAGAATAATGTGATATTGAAATATGTATATTGCCGACTACTTAAGTGATAGTTAAGTAGTTAAGTTACTGTTCAGTGATGTTAATTGTTTGTGTTATCAGTAGCTTGTATATTGGCTCTCTAAGTCTCATCACTGCTCACAGTGTCCAGATGGTACACTTCATTCTCTACACATGGCATTTCTAATTGCATTTATTACCTCATTTATTTCATCTAATGTGTTAAGACAATTATTGTTGTCTAAAAGTACATTTTACTGGAATATGAACCTTTGTTTTCCTGATAAATAACAATGAGAATCCATTCACAAAGTCATATTATAGTTATGTATGTAATTAACATTCCGTATGATATGGTGAATTCATGCATGGTTTCAGTAAAGACACACCAGACATCTTCTGTGCCCACTGCTGGCAAACCTCATTACCTTATTTATGGCGATGGCAGCTTGAGGGACAGGAAATATATTCCTTGACCTGTGTGTTGGGTTGTGCGTCAGTGGACCAGTGGACCCAAAGAATCCCATTTGATTGTAACTGTGAAGCTAAGCTTGATTTCATTGGGTCTCTTGGAATATTGAAGTCCGACTGTCACATCAGATTTAAAGCATGAGTTTATGGCACTGTGTTTTCTGCAATACCTCTTTAATCCACCTCCTTGGATGCACATTTAGGAAGTACTTGATGTCGTTGTGTGTTATGTGAATGTACCACCTGAGACCACTTCTAAGTAAACATCAATGTTGGTATTTTAAGCATTGATTACTAAATTACAATTTTCTAATGCGGTCACATTAATTCACTGTGTAAAGTTGGAGCATACATCAAAGTTATTCATCAAATCTGCAAGTATGATATTATCTCATGAATCAAAACACATATATTACTTAAATTCATTCCAGATTTGATCTATTTCAGCACTTTTCCAGTTAAGAGTGTGATTGTAATTCTGGATGACCAGTAATGCAATAAGCTTTACATCCAGTGAATCTGTTATATATGGTTTTGCTCATATATATGCACAAGGAAGATGAATTATTTTTTTGCCCCAGTATTGATCTACACAGATACAAAGGAACACAATTTTCAAGCCCAGACCTTGCAGCATAATACTGATTTATGACATCAGGAAATCCTGTCTTTTGACAACTGCACTTTTCGGCACTATAGAAGTATATTGTGGAATAAAGTCTTGCAAAATTGTTTGTGAAAAGGAATCTGTTGTTATTGCTTTCTGTGAACATGTATTCTACAGTGATACAAGAGGATGCCCTCGAATCCATGTCATGCTTTAGTTTTATGTGTTTCTTTGAAACCTGGCATGAGGATGACAGTTGGAAGTGAGGCAGGTAACGAGATAATCAAGGATTAGAGCCCATGATCCCAGGCTCCTAGTACACTTAAGGGAAGTAACTCCACACAGCAACTTGCCACCCCTCAGACAACTTGGTGACCTATTCCTCTAACAGTAAGATAATACAAACAGACTATGAGAGTAAGTCAACTTCAGGAAATGCAGAAGATTGAGATTAGATGCTTTTAAGACATTGGTGTCTCAATAATCTGCCAGGTTCTCAGTGTAAACCGTCATCTGGACCTCAATAATCTGCCAGGTTCTCAGTGTAAACCGTCATCTGGACCTCAATAATCTGCCAGGTTCTCAGTGTAAACCGTCATCTGGACCTCAATAATCTGCCAGGTTCTCAGTGTAAACCGTCATCTGGACCTCAGTAATCTGCCAGGTTCTCAGTGTAAACCGTCATCTGGACCTCAATAATCTGCCAGGTTCTCAAGCTGGTTGAAAAGAATGAGAACAAATTACATGTGTGATCTTTATTATCTTCCTAAAAAAACAACATATCAGTATCAACAGTTACTGTACACGATAACAACTGTCGTTTCCAATGGTTACAAAGGCAGGATTCCACGTGCACATCTCCATCCATCTCTTCATGTTCACTGATCATATATACTGATGACCTACAAGCAGTTAGTCACCTTCCAGACAGTCGCATATTTAGTGAATTTCCAACACTCAGCAGACTTGGTATCTGCAGCATTAGAATTACATCACAGGGGCCTAGATTTTGAAGCTCTCTTAGCACTAAGAAATTAGTGTAAGTCAACGTTAATGTATGGCACTTGACTATCTTAGCTAAAGAGAGCTTCGAAATCTAAACCATCCAACAGCAAAAGCAGCGTTACATCACTGTGTGCTGCATTCCATCATCATCATCATCAGTGTTCATTGCAGGAGAGGCATCTCTGTCACCAGAGGTCACTTGACATTAAAACCCTCACTTGAGAGGTGCACACCTTGACATTAAAACCCTTTTCAGAGGTGCACACCTTGACATTAAAACCCTCACTTGAAGGTACACTCAATCTGCACACATGGTTAGACTACTGAACAGTTGCAGTGTGGCTACTGAGGAATGCGGGATACTGTCCTGTTTAGCAAGGTAAAGGTCAATGAGATCCTGCACCGTCTAGGAGAAACCGTTTGGAGCATCTGTGTCTCACCGAGGAGCTATGCTGTGAAGGAAACATCTTCGTGTTAATGTCCTCCTCAGTCTGGCCTAGCTACCATATTACATATATACTTGTCTTTTCAATATCAACAGAAATCAAAATCACTACTGAATTGTTTACTAACTAACAAATCTATTTACTGTTAATTCCCAAATTATAAATATTTACACTGAATTGATGCATACTAATCCATAGAAGCTGTGAAGAACAACCAATTTCTAACATGCTTATAGTTAATGTATCTTAAGCCATGACATTATCTATAGTTATGTCGTAACACAGCAGGTGTTCTTTAACTTCTGACTTTTTGTAGCATAGACATAATGTATAATACTGAGCTAACTTACATTCCCTACGCTACAATGTATTCCCTCAGCTATATCCACATGATACAGACCTGTTCCTCGTAGACATTAACAAACATAAACAACACAGCAACAACAGGTGCCCCTAGAGCTGCCCTCTACTCCCAGCAACATCAGGTGCCCCTAGAGCTGCCCTCTACTCCCAGCAACAACAGGTGCCCCTAGAGCTGCCCTCTACTCCCAGCAACAGGTGCCCCTAGGCTGCCCTCTACTCACAGCAGCAAGAGGTGCCCCTTGGGCTGCCCTCTACTCCCACAGCAGCAAGGGTGCCCCTAGGGCTGCCCTCTACTCCCAGCAGCAACAGGTGCCCCTAGGGCTGCCCTCTGCTCACAGCAGCAACAGGTGCGCCTTGGGCTACCCTCTACTCACAACAAGCAGGTGCCCCTAGGGCTGCCCTCTACTCCCAGCAGCATCAGGTTGCCCTAGAGCTGCCCTCTACTCCAGCAGCAACAGGTGCCCCTGGGCTGCCCTCTACTCCGCAGCAACAGGTGCCCTGGGCTGCCCTCTACTCTCACAGCAACAGAGGTGCCCCTTGGGCTGCCCTCTACTCACAGCAACAAGAGGTGCCCCTAGGGCTGCCCTCTACTCCCAGCAACAACAGGTGCCCCTAGGCTGCCCTCTACTCACAGCAACAACAGGTGCCCCTTGAGGCTACCCTCTACTCACAACAACAGGTGCCCCTAGAGCTGCCCTCTACTCCCAGCAACAACAGGTGCCCCTAGGGCTGCCTTCTACTCACAGCAACAACAGGTGCCCCTGAGGCTGCCCTCTACTCACAGCAGCAACAGGTGCCCCTAGAGCTGCCCTCTACTCACAGCAACAACAGGTGCCCTTGAGGCTGCCCTCTACTCACAGCAACAACAGGTGCCCCTAGAGGCTGCCCTCTACTCACAGCAGCAACAGGTGCCCCTAGAGGCTGCCCTCTACTCACAGCAAACAGCAGGTAGTCTTGTGGGGAATCGGCATACATGTTTGTGAGTCCGGTGCCCCGGCTGGCACAGGGGGATGTCAATCTTGTAGCCTGTCAGCTGGTAGCACACCTCACGGAACTCCTGGCTCGTCTTTTTGAATGCCTCCATCAGTCGCTTGTTGCGCAGCTCTTCCCGGGTCAGCTGGCTCTTCAGCTCTGAGGGACAGGAGGTTGAAAACATTGTCTGAAACATCTTGACCTCCCAATACTATGCCAAAGGTCCCATCTGGAACAATACACTATCTGTCATTTCCCTAATATGACACAATGCCTCACCTGACACAATACACCATCTGACACAATGCCTCACCTAACACAATACACTATCTGATACAATGCATCACCTGACACAATACACTATCTGACACAATGCCTCAACTGACACAATACACTATCTGACACAATGCCTCAACTGACACAATACACTATCTAACACAATGCATCACCTGACACAATACACTATCTGACACAATGCATCACCTGACACAATGCCTCACCAAATACAATACACTATCTGACACAATGCATCACCTGACACAATACACTGACACAATGCCTCACCAAATACAATACACTATCTGACACAATGCATCACCTGACACAATACACTATCTGACACAATGCATCACCTGACACAATGCCTCACCTAACACAATACACTATCTGACACAATGAATCACCTAACACAATACACTATCTGCCACGATGTCTCATCTGACACAGTACACTATCTGATATAATCTCCCATCTGAAACAATCAACCATCTGACATTTCCCTCTTCACACAATCGACCATATATCACAATCCACTATCTGATAGCATGGAACATCTGACCCAATCCACCACCTGACACCATTAACCATCCGACATAATCCACCACCTGACACTAACCATCCACCACCTGACACCAACTATCCAACACCATAGACTATCCGACATAATCCACCACCTGACACTAACCATCCACCACCTTACACCAGCTATCAGCACCATAGACTATCGACACAATCCTCCACCTGAAACAATCATTCTGACCTTCCACCTCCTTTCCGGCATCTGGTTCCTGTAGTTTCTTCTCCACCTTCTGAGTCAGGTCATCCACCGAGCCTCCAGATTCCTCTAGCAACTTCAGCCTCTGTTTCAGTTTGTCATTTTCATCATGCAACCTTTTCGGCTCCTCTTCTCTGTGTCTCTGAGCTATCTCAGCAGGGTTCATAGTGAAGTGGACCACCTTCGTCTTGGGCGGATCATAATCACCCTGCAAATAAACAGCACACAATGTGATAGTGACAGCAGTATTCCCTCCTGACCTCATCACACCAATACCGACCAAGACCAGCATGGACAGCCAAAAGGTTGGGGCAATTTCTGAACCTTCTCAAAGTCACCGACCGACTCACACGGGTAGGCTGGTTCCTCTGTTCTACTGGAGACTCTGCAACACTCACCTACAGGTTCCTCTGTTCTACTGGAGACTCTCCAACACTCACCTCTGTTCTACTGGAGACTCTCCAACACTCACCTACTAAACTCTCCTCTGTTCTACTGGAGACTCTTCTGACTGCGGAGACTCTTCACTCACCTCTGTTCTGCTGGAGACTCTCCAGCACCCACCTACAGGTTCCTCTGTTGTACTGGAGACTCTTCAACACTCACCTCTGTTCTGCTGGAGACTCTCCAACACTCACCTACAGGCTCCTCTGTTCTACTGGAGACTCTTCAACACTCACCTACAGGCTCCTCTGTTCTACTGGAGACTCTTCAGCACTCACCTCTGTTCTGCTGGAGACTCTCCAGCACTCACCTACAGGCACCTCTGTTCTACTGGACACTCTCCAACACTCACCTACAGGCTCCTCTGTTCTGCTGGAGACTCTCCAACACTCACCTGCAGGTCTCCTCTGTTCTACTGGAGACTCTCAACACTCACCTCTGTTCTGCTGGAGACTCTCAGCACTCCACCTACAGGCTCCTCTGTTCTACTGGAGACTCTCCAACACTCACCTACAGGCTCCTCTGTTCTGCTGGAGACTCTCCAACACTCACCTACAGGCTCCTCTGTTCTACTGGACACTCTCCCAACACTCACCACAGGCTCCTCTGCTCCACTGGACACTCTCCAACACTCACCTGGAGGTTCCTCTGTTCTACTGGAGACTCTCCAACACTCACCTACAGGTTCCTCTGTTCTACTGGAGACTCTCCAACACTCACCTTACAGGTTCCTCTGTTCTACTGGAGACTCTCCAACACTCACCTACAGGCTCCTCTGTTCTACTGGAATATCCAACGCACTCACCTACAGGCTCCTCTGTTCTACTGGGACTCCAACACTCTACTGCAGGTTCCTCTGTTCCTACTGGAGACTCTCCAACTTGCTCACTACAGGCTCCTCTGATTCTGGGACTCTCCAGCACTCACCTACAGGCTCCTCTGTTTCTACTGGAACTCTCAACACTCACCTACAGGTTCCTCTGTTCTACTGGAGACTCTCAACACTCTTCTAAGTTCCTCTGTTCTACTGGAGACTCTCCAACACTCACCTACAGGCTCCTCTCCCACTGGAGACTCTCCAGCCTCCACCTACAGGCTCCTCTGTTACTGGAGACTCTCCAACACTCACCTACAGGCTCCTCTGCTCCACTGGAACTCCAACACTCTCACCTACAGGCTCCTCTGTTCTACTGGAGACTCTCCAACTTGCACTCACCTGCAGGCTCCTCTGCTCACTGGAACTCTCCAACACTCACCTACAGGCTCCTCTGTTCTACTGGAGACTCTGCAACACTCACCTACAGGTTCCTCTGTTCTACTGGAGACTCTCAACACTCACCTACAGGCTCCTCTGTTCTGCTGGACACTCTCCAGCACTCACCTACAGGCTCCTCTGCTCACTGGAGACTCTCCAACACTCACCCTGCAGGCTCCTCTGTTCTACTGGAGACTCTCCAACACTCACCTACAGGCTCCTCTGTTCTACTGGGAACTCTCCAACACTCTACCTACAGGCTCCCTCTGTTCTACTGGAGACTCTCCAACCTCACCTGCAGGTTCCTCTGTTCTACTGGAGACTCTCAGCACTCACCTGGAGGCTCCTCTGTTCTGGAATACTGGAACTCACCTCTCCTCTGCTCCTGGGGCCTGGAGGCTCCTCTGCTCCCATGGAGACTCTCCAACCCCACTCACCTACAGGTTCCTCTCTGTTCTACTGGAACTCTCCAACTTGCTCTCACCTACAGGCTCCTCTGTTCTGGAACTCTCCAACACTCTACCACAGGCTCCTCTGCTCCCTGGGACTCTCCAACACTCACCTACAGGTTCCTCTGTTCTACTGGAGGACTCTCAACACTCTCCTACTGGGTTCCTCTGTTTCTGGACACTCTCCAACACTCACCCTACAGGTTCCTCTGTTCTACTGGAGACTCTCCAACACTCACCTACAGGTTCCTCTGTTCTACTGGAGACTCTCCAACACTCACCTACAGGCTCCTCTGTTCTACTGGAGACTCTCCAACACTCACCTGCAGGATCCTCTGTTCTACTGGAGACTCTCCAACACTCACCTACAGGCTCCTCTGTTCTGGACACTCTCCAACACTCACCTACAGGCTCCTCTGTTCTACTGGAGACTCTCCAACACTCACCTACAGGCTCCTCTGTTTCTACTGGAACTCTCCAACACTCACCTACAGGCTCCTCTGCTCCACTGGAGACTCTCCAACACTCACCTGCTGGGTTCCTCTGTTCTGCTGGAACTCTCCAACACTTTCACCTACAGGCTCCTCTGTTCTACTGGAACTCTCAACACTCCACCTACAGGTTTCCTCTGTTCTACTGGAGACTCTCAACACTCACCCTGGCTCCTCTGCTCCACTGGAGACTCTCCAACACTCACCTACAGGCTCCTCTGCTCCACTGGAGACTCTCCAACACTCACCTACAGGTTCCTCTGCTCACTGGAGACTCTCCAACACTCACCTACAGGCTCCTCTGCTCCACTGGAACTCTCCAACACTCACCTACAGGCTCCTCTGTTCTGGGACTCTCCAACACTCACCTACAGGTTCCTCTGTTCTACTGGAGACTCTCCAACACTCACCTACAAAGGCTCCTCTGCTCCACTGGAGACTCTCCAGCACTCACCTACAGGCTCCTCTGCTCCACTGGAGACTCTCCCAACACTCACCTACAGGCTCCTCTGCTCCACTGGAACTCTCCAACACTCACCTGCCAGGTTCCTCTGTTCTACTGGAGACTCTCCAACACTCACCTACAGGCTCCTCTGTTCTACTGGAGACTCTCAACACTCACCTACAGGCTCCTCTGTTCTACTGGAACTCTCAACACTCCACCTACAGAGTTCCTCTCTGTTCTACTGGACACTCTCAACCTCACCTGGGTTCCTCTGTTCTGGAGACTCTCCAACACTCACCTACAAGTTCCTCTCTCTGTTCTACTGGACACTCTCAACACTCACCTGGGTTCCTCTGTTCTGGAGACTCTCAACACTCACCTGGAGGCTCCTCTGTTCTGGACACTCTCCAACACTCACCTACAGGTTCCTCTGTTCTACTGGACACTCTCCAACACTCACCTGGAGACTCCTCTGTTCTACTGGACCTCTCAACCACTCACCTACAGGCTCCTCTGAGACTCACTGGAGACTCTCCAACACTCACCTACAAGTTCCTCTGATTCTACTGGACACTCTCCAACACTCACCTGGAGGTTCCTCTGTTCTACTGGAGACTCTCCCAACACTCACCTGGAGGTTCCTCTGTTCTACTGGACACTCTCAACACTCACACTACAGGTTCCTCTGTTCTACTGGACACTCTCCAACACTCACCTGGGGGTTCCTCTGTTCTGCTGGACACTCTCCAACACTCCACCTACTGGGTTCCTCTGTTCTACTGGACACTCTCCAACACTCACCTGGAGGGTCCCTCTGTTCTGCTGGAGACTCTCCAACACTCACCTACAGGTTCCTCTGTTCTACTGGACCTCTCAACACTCACCTGGAGGTTCCTCTGTTCTACTGAGACTCTCAACTTGCTCACCTACAGGTTCCTCTGTTCTACTGGACACTCTCAACACTCACCTACAAGTTCCTCTGTTCTGCTGGAGACTCTGCAACACTCACCTACAGGTTCCTCTGTTCTACTGGAGACTCTCAACACTCACCTGGAGGTTCCCTCTGTTCTACTAGAGACTCTCAACACTCTTTCTGGGTTTCTCTCTGTTCTACTGGACACTCTCCAACACTCACCTGGAGGTTCCCTCTGTTCTACTGGAGACTCTCAACACTCACCTACAGGTTCCTCTGTTCTATCACTGGAGACTCTCCAACACTCACCTACAGGCTCCTCTGTGTTCTACTGGAGACTCTCCAACACTCACCCTGAGGTTCCTCTGTTCTACTGGACACTCTCCAACACTCCACCTAGAGTTCCTCTGTTCTGCTGGAGACTCTGTACTCACCTACAGGTTCCTCTGTTCTACTGGAACTCTTCAACACTCACCTACAGGTTCCTCTGTTCTACTGGAGACTCTTCAACCTCACCTCTGTTCTACTGGAGACTCTCAACACTCACCTACAAGTTCCTCTGTTCTACTGGAGACTCTGCAACACTCACCTACAGGTTCCTCTGTTCTACTGGAACTCTTCAACACTCCACACCTCTGTTCTGCTGGAGACTCTCCAACACTCACCTGGAGAGTTCCTCTGTCATTCTACTGGAGACTCTCAACACTCACCTACAAGTTCCTCTGTTCTACTGGAGACTCTCCAACACTCACCTCTGTTCTTTCTGGAACTCTCAACACTCACCCTACAAGTTCTCTGTTCTACTGGAGACTCTTCAACACTCACCTCTGGTGTTCTGCTGGAGACTCTCCAGCACTCACCTACAAGTTCCTCTGTTCTGCTGGACTCTTCAACACTCTCTGTTCTGCTGGAGACTCTTCAACACTCACCTCTGTGTTCTGGACACTCTCAACACTCACCTGGAGTTTCCTCTGTTCTACTGGAGACTCTCCAACACTCACCTACAGGTTCCTCTGTTCTACTGGAACTCTTCAACACTCACCTCTGTTCTACTGGAGACTCTCCAACGCCACCTACAGGTTCCCTCTGTTCTACTGGACACTCTCCAACACTCCACCTGGAGGTTCCTCTGTTCTATCCAGCACAGCCTCAGGAGGTTGACCTGTTTGTTCCTCTTCTCCAATTCCAACTCAGCTCA